AAGGAAGGAAGGAAGGAAGGAAGGAAAAGGAAGGAAGGAAGGAAGGAAGGAAGGAAGGAAGGAAGGAAGGAAGGAAGGAAAAGGAAGGAAGGAAGGAAGGAAGGAAGGAAGGAAGGAAGGAAGGAAGGAAGGAAAAGGAAGGAAGGAAGGAAGGAAGGAAGGAAGGAAGGAAGGAAGGAAGGAAGGAAAAGGAAGGAAGGAAGGAAGGAAGGAAGGAAGGAAGGAAGGAAGGAAGGAAGGAAAAGGAAGGAAGGAAGGAAGGAAGGAAGGAAGGAAGGAAGGAAGGAAGGAAGGAAAAGGAAGGAAGGAAGGAAGGAAGGAAGGAAGGAAGGAAGGAAGGAAGGAAGGAAAAGGAAGGAAGGAAGGAAGGAAGGAAGGAAGGAAGGAAGGAAGGAAGGAAGGAAAAGGAAGGAAGGAAGGAAGGAAGGAAGGAAGGAAGGAAGGAAGGAAGGAAGGAAAAGGAAGGAAGGAAGGAAGGAAGGAAGGAAGGAAGGAAGGAAGGAAGGAAGGAAAAGGAAGGAAGGAAGGAAGGAAGGAAGGAAGGAAGGAAGGAAGGAAGGAAGGAAAAGGAAGGAAGGAAGGAAGGAAGGAAGGAAGGAAGGAAGGAAGGAAGGAAGGAAAAGGAAGGAAGGAAGGAAGGAAGGAAGGAAGGAAGGAAGGAAGGAAGGAAGGAAAAGGAAGGAAGGAAGGAAGGAAGGAAGGAAGGAAGGAAGGAAGGAAGGAAGGAAAAGGAAGGAAGGAAGGAAGGAAGGAAGGAAGGAAGGAAGGAAGGAAGGAAGGAAAAGGAAGGAAGGAAGGAAGGAAGGAAGGAAGGAAGGAAGGAAGGAAGGAAGGAAAAGGAAGGAAGGAAGGAAGGAAGGAAGGAAGGAAGGAAGGAAGGAAGGAAGGAAAAGGAAGGAAGGAAGGAAGGAAGGAAGGAAGGAAGGAAGGAAGGAAGGAAGGAAAAGGAAGGAAGGAAGGAAGGAAGGAAGGAAGGAAGGAAGGAAGGAAGGAAGGAAAAGGAAGGAAGGAAGGAAGGAAGGAAGGAAGGAAGGAAGGAAGGAAGGAAGGAAAAGGAAGGAAGGAAGGAAGGAAGGAAGGAAGGAAGGAAGGAAGGAAGGAAGGAAAAGGAAGGAAGGAAGGAAGGAAGGAAGGAAGGAAGGAAGGAAGGAAGGAAGGAAAAGGAAGGAAGGAAGGAAGGAAGGAAGGAAGGAAGGAAGGAAGGAAGGAAGGAAAAGGAAGGAAGGAAGGAAGGAAGGAAGGAAGGAAGGAAGGAAGGAAGGAAGGAAAAGGAAGGAAGGAAGGAAGGAAGGAAGGAAGGAAGGAAGGAAGGAAGGAAGGAAAAGGAAGGAAGGAAGGAAGGAAGGAAGGAAGGAAGGAAGGAAGGAAGGAAGGAAAAGGAAGGAAGGAAGGAAGGAAGGAAGGAAGGAAGGAAGGAAGGAAGGAAGGAAAAGGAAGGAAGGAAGGAAGGAAGGAAGGAAGGAAGGAAGGAAGGAAGGAAGGAAAAGGAAGGAAGGAAGGAAGGAAGGAAGGAAGGAAGGAAGGAAGGAAGGAAGGAAAAGGAAGGAAGGAAGGAAGGAAGGAAGGAAGGAAGGAAGGAAGGAAGGAAGGAAAAGGAAGGAAGGAAGGAAGGAAGGAAGGAAGGAAGGAAGGAAGGAAGGAAGGAAAAGGAAGGAAGGAAGGAAGGAAGGAAGGAAGGAAGGAAGGAAGGAAGGAAGGAAAAGGAAGGAAGGAAGGAAGGAAGGAAGGAAGGAAGGAAGGAAGGAAGGAAGGAAAAGGAAGGAAGGAAGGAAGGAAGGAAGGAAGGAAGGAAGGAAGGAAGGAAGGAAAAGGAAGGAAGGAAGGAAGGAAGGAAGGAAGGAAGGAAGGAAGGAAGGAAGGAAAAGGAAGGAAGGAAGGAAGGAAGGAAGGAAGGAAGGAAGGAAGGAAGGAAGGAAAAGGAAGGAAGGAAGGAAGGAAGGAAGGAAGGAAGGAAGGAAGGAAGGAAGGAAAAGGAAGGAAGGAAGGAAGGAAGGAAGGAAGGAAGGAAGGAAGGAAGGAAGGAAAAGGAAGGAAGGAAGGAAGGAAGGAAGGAAGGAAGGAAGGAAGGAAGGAAGGAAAAGGAAGGAAGGAAGGAAGGAAGGAAGGAAGGAAGGAAGGAAGGAAGGAAGGAAAAGGAAGGAAGGAAGGAAGGAAGGAAGGAAGGAAGGAAGGAAGGAAGGAAGGAAAAGGAAGGAAGGAAGGAAGGAAGGAAGGAAGGAAGGAAGGAAGGAAGGAAGGAAAAGGAAGGAAGGAAGGAAGGAAGGAAGGAAGGAAGGAAGGAAGGAAGGAAGGAAAAGGAAGGAAGGAAGGAAGGAAGGAAGGAAGGAAGGAAGGAAGGAAGGAAGGAAAAGGAAGGAAGGAAGGAAGGAAGGAAGGAAGGAAGGAAGGAAGGAAGGAAGGAAAAGGAAGGAAGGAAGGAAGGAAGGAAGGAAGGAAGGAAGGAAGGAAGGAAGGAAAAGGAAGGAAGGAAGGAAGGAAGGAAGGAAGGAAGGAAGGAAGGAAGGAAGGAAAAGGAAGGAAGGAAGGAAGGAAGGAAGGAAGGAAGGAAGGAAGGAAGGAAGGAAAAGGAAGGAAGGAAGGAAGGAAGGAAGGAAGGAAGGAAGGAAGGAAGGAAGGAAAAGGAAGGAAGGAAGGAAGGAAGGAAGGAAGGAAGGAAGGAAGGAAGGAAGGAAAAGGAAGGAAGGAAGGAAGGAAGGAAGGAAGGAAGGAAGGAAGGAAGGAAGGAAAAGGAAGGAAGGAAGGAAGGAAGGAAGGAAGGAAGGAAGGAAGGAAGGAAGGAAAAGGAAGGAAGGAAGGAAGGAAGGAAGGAAGGAAGGAAGGAAGGAAGGAAGGAAAAGGAAGGAAGGAAGGAAGGAAGGAAGGAAGGAAGGAAGGAAGGAAGGAAGGAAAAGGAAGGAAGGAAGGAAGGAAGGAAGGAAGGAAGGAAGGAAGGAAGGAAGGAAAAGGAAGGAAGGAAGGAAGGAAGGAAGGAAGGAAGGAAGGAAGGAAGGAAGGAAAAGGAAGGAAGGAAGGAAGGAAGGAAGGAAGGAAGGAAGGAAGGAAGGAAGGAAAAGGAAGGAAGGAAGGAAGGAAGGAAGGAAGGAAGGAAGGAAGGAAGGAAGGAAAAGGAAGGAAGGAAGGAAGGAAGGAAGGAAGGAAGGAAGGAAGGAAGGAAGGAAAAGGAAGGAAGGAAGGAAGGAAGGAAGGAAGGAAGGAAGGAAGGAAGGAAGGAAAAGGAAGGAAGGAAGGAAGGAAGGAAGGAAGGAAGGAAGGAAGGAAGGAAGGAAAAGGAAGGAAGGAAGGAAGGAAGGAAGGAAGGAAGGAAGGAAGGAAGGAAGGAAAAGGAAGGAAGGAAGGAAGGAAGGAAGGAAGGAAGGAAGGAAGGAAGGAAGGAAAAGGAAGGAAGGAAGGAAGGAAGGAAGGAAGGAAGGAAGGAAGGAAGGAAGGAAAAGGAAGGAAGGAAGGAAGGAAGGAAGGAAGGAAGGAAGGAAGGAAGGAAGGAAAAGGAAGGAAGGAAGGAAGGAAGGAAGGAAGGAAGGAAGGAAGGAAGGAAGGAAAAGGAAGGAAGGAAGGAAGGAAGGAAGGAAGGAAGGAAGGAAGGAAGGAAGGAAAAGGAAGGAAGGAAGGAAGGAAGGAAGGAAGGAAGGAAGGAAGGAAGGAAGGAAAAGGAAGGAAGGAAGGAAGGAAGGAAGGAAGGAAGGAAGGAAGGAAGGAAGGAAAAGGAAGGAAGGAAGGAAGGAAGGAAGGAAGGAAGGAAGGAAGGAAGGAAGGAAAAGGAAGGAAGGAAGGAAGGAAGGAAGGAAGGAAGGAAGGAAGGAAGGAAGGAAAAGGAAGGAAGGAAGGAAGGAAGGAAGGAAGGAAGGAAGGAAGGAAGGAAGGAAAAGGAAGGAAGGAAGGAAGGAAGGAAGGAAGGAAGGAAGGAAGGAAGGAAGGAAAAGGAAGGAAGGAAGGAAGGAAGGAAGGAAGGAAGGAAGGAAGGAAGGAAGGAAAAGGAAGGAAGGAAGGAAGGAAGGAAGGAAGGAAGGAAGGAAGGAAGGAAGGAAAAGGAAGGAAGGAAGGAAGGAAGGAAGGAAGGAAGGAAGGAAGGAAGGAAGGAAAAGGAAGGAAGGAAGGAAGGAAGGAAGGAAGGAAGGAAGGAAGGAAGGAAGGAAAAGGAAGGAAGGAAGGAAGGAAGGAAGGAAGGAAGGAAGGAAGGAAGGAAGGAAAAGGAAGGAAGGAAGGAAGGAAGGAAGGAAGGAAGGAAGGAAGGAAGGAAGGAAAAGGAAGGAAGGAAGGAAGGAAGGAAGGAAGGAAGGAAGGAAGGAAGGAAGGAAAAGGAAGGAAGGAAGGAAGGAAGGAAGGAAGGAAGGAAGGAAGGAAGGAAGGAAGGAA